TTACCCAGGCTGGAGTGCAATGGCGCGATCTCGGCTCACGGCAACCTCCGCCTCCTGGGTTCAGGCAATTCTCCTGCCTCAGCCTCCTGAGTAGCTGGGATTACAGGCACGCGCCACCGTGCCCAGCTAATTTTTTGTATTTTTAGTAGAGACAGGGTTTCACCGTGTTGACCAGGATGAAAGACTCGATCTCTTGACCTCGTGATCCACCCGCCTCGGCCTCCCAAAGTGCTGGGATTACAGGCGTGAGCCACTGCGCCTGGCCCTGCCACTGACTTTCTAATGGTTTTTCCAGAGGCCGCTGTTTTTGTAGTCCTTCATAGCAGTCTGTTACTTCATCTGTTTCCCACAAATCCAACCAGAGACCAAAAGGCACAGCAGGGACTTTAGAAAATGCTCAACAGTTCTGTGATACTGAGCAATGAGTTGAAAAAAAAGAAAATAAAAGAAAAAAAAATGCTCAACAGTTGGGAAGCTAAGGTTATGAATAAAAGCTGGTTACTGTCACGGGTGGTCTTATTTCTGGGTGATCTTTTCTTGGGGAAGTCTGTGGCTATAGCCATGATAAAATTAGGGTGAAAGGTTGGATCTAGAAGGGAGAGGGTTTGGGTTTAAAAGGAACATATCTGATTTCAGTTTTATGTCCTGGAGAGAGACTGGGTTTGAATAAATACTAATCAAAATGAATCCAAGAACAGATCACACACTGTTTTGTTCACACTTGGAAACAGAGGCAAAGATTAAAAATAAAAGCAAATAAACCTACCCTGGTCTCTCTTTGGGGAAGTAGATTTGGCTGCTCTCAGACGCTCAGCCTGGATGTTCAGAAGACAATATGAATGTAAAAGGACCTTTCACCTGGTTTAATTCTCTGGCAACAATTCAGTTTTCAAATCCAAGTCCCAAATAATCCCTACTTTTCAGCATCATGATGCAGATCACAAAAATATTCCAACTTGGCCTGGCTCTTTCTATGATGATATCCTCTCCCAGTAATTTCTATAATCTGCAATGTAAGTACCTTTTTCCTTCCACTTAGGGGGAAAAAATTAATGATCTCTGTTCACATACTGACTCATGTGGCTTTTCATTATGAGTTAGAAAACAAATGGAATTCTCTACCAATAATGTGCCATCAAGAATTGTGACCCTGCCTGACTTCACATGATGCTGGGCTTCTAATCAGCTGCTGGAAATGGAAGAAATACTGTGAAGTTTCAGAATTGTGATCCCTGGAAGATTACCTGAGTTAGTTTATTTTGGTCAAAATATAAAATCAAAAGTATGGTTAAAGAAGTAAACAGCTCTTCTCTAAGCTGGTCATAAGATTTAAAAAAAAAAAAAAAAAAAGCAGCAGGGGGGTGGAGAGTTGGGGAGAGAAAGCATGGGGAGAAATGCCAGATATAGATGAAGGGGAGGAAGGCAGCAAATCACACTACCATGTGTGTACCTATGCAACAATCTTGTATGTTCTTCACATGTACCCCAAAACCTAAAATGCAATTAAAAAAAAAAAGAAGTAAACAGCCGGGCCGGGTGTGGTGGCTCACGTCTGTAATCCCAGCACTTTGGGAGGCCAAGGTGGGTGGATTGCTAAAGCCCAGGAGTTTAAGACCAGCTTGGGCAAGTTGACGAAACCCTGTCTCCGCAAAAAAATACAAAAATTAGCCAGGTGTTGTGGCACGCACCCGTAGTCCCAGTTGCTCAGGAGGCTGAGGTGGGAGAATTGCTTGAGCCCAAGAGGCAGAGACTGCAGTAAGCCAAGAGTACACCACTGCACTCCAGCCTGGGTGTCAGAGTGAAACCGTGTCTCAAAACAACAACAAAAAAGAAATAAACAGCTAGTAAAGCCACCTAGCCCAAAACTTAGAAAGTAGGAGAGTGAACACATATATACCTGAGCACACACACATCCAACACGCATACACAGATGAGATGAGCCTAGCAAACACGCCGAAGATATATCAAGCAAGTGCTTTTTTAATCAATACATCAAATGATATTTTAGCTAGCCTGAGGAAGCTTCTCTTTGCCTGTCCTGCCATTCCCACCACTCCCTCACAGGAATAGGAAGAAGAAATTCCTTCTTGGACCCAACATTAGATAAACATAACCAAGTCTTTACATGAGGCTTTGGAGAAGGCTGCTAGGATGCACGCGAACACAACATCAGGAGTCTGGGATGCATCGATGGCAGAGTGGATCCCCCGTTTCCTATAGTACTCTATGAGTGGGGTGGTTTGAGTGTGGTAGGCTTGCAGGCGGATTTTCAAGGCCTTCTCATTATCATCTGATCGACGAATCAAGGGTTCCCCGGTGATCTGAGAATATGAAGAGAGCAATGAAAGGCTGGGACTGTTAGCAAGGTTTTCTTATTCCATGCCAGATGCAGATTTGAGATGGGACCATTCTGCCCAGGATGCTGTCTGCTCCCAAAGCCCATCAGAGGCTGACAGGCAATTCAGACCCTCTCCAATAAAGAACTTTGGTACTCCCAGGAGCAGAGCAGCTTGTCCAGAGAAGTCAGAGAGTTTGTCAGAAACAGCAACTGTGAGGAAAGGGGCTCACAAGGGGAAGATAGGCAATGACTTTCTCAGCTTTCTGCTCAGGCGATTCAGCTTCCAAGGTAAACACTTCTAGGGTCAAAAGTAAGGAAGTCAAAAGCCCCTAAAACTAGGAGAATACACCAAAATCAAAGATGCATTAGCAATTGTAATCTTAGTTGCTTAAATATTTAGCATATTTACTAGATTGTCACTCATCAACATTCTAAAAGTGGAAAGTAAAATGAGAAAGAACTTTGAATGGTAGAATTAGCAACTTCGCAAAATGTGACCAAGTTGCCATAATGGCTCTAGAACCTGTATTTATAGAACCTGGGTGACCTGATGAACTTGTTTCATAGGACAAAGATAAATCCAGGAAATTCTTACTGTTGTTTACATGCTCTAAAACAGACCATATAGACTCTTTATGGCAAATGGTGCAGTGACCATGTATGAGACTCCAGGACACAGTACAGCAACAGTAACTATAGGAAAAGAATATGCTTTTGGAGGACTGGTCAGCAAATTCTCTTTGGTGTCACACTCTCCCTACTCTCCAATTCTAGGCTTTTAAGAAACCTTCTCCTTATTAGCTGACCACTTAGGTGGCCACGATGTCAGAGAGGGGCTGCTCTTGACAGAAGACAAGTACAATCTGGGCACTGCAAAAAGCTGGCACCACTGGTAGCTACCTTGAGGCCAAGCAATAAACCACCTGAGGAGACACGGAATAGATCTGACACTGGCCGTGTGATTAGCCTGATAGTGTCATTTTCATGACTATGTTAGTAATATTGGTAGAAATAAAAAGACAATGGAAAGAACAAAAGAAAAACAGTGAAGAAGGCAGAAGGAAAGAAAAGGAAATTTCTTGTCCCGCGTTTACATACGTCATCTTTCATGGGCTCCTTTGGGGGGTTGAACTCCTCATGGTAAGAACGGCCACTCTTGGGGTGAATCAGCCTGAAAGGCAGCAAATGAATATGAGTCAGGTTAACTGACAGTACACGCCTGCACTCCACACTCCAGGGACCTCCAGAATGACAAGCAGGCAGGGATGCTGGATGCAAGAACCCAGCACCCGGCAGAAAACCCAGCTAAATAACAGCTTTCAGGAGAGCTTATGCCAGCGGCAGAGTATATTTTCTATTTTGACCAAATATTATTACGCATTTCTGGCTGAAGAGCAAACTGCTGGCATAACTACCTAATTCAGAACTAGAGAGAAGGAACTCTGGTGCTAGTCTCACAGTCATCCATTCTTTTTACACACTCACTAAATAAACATTAATAAGTACCTACTCCCATTAAAGCCTTAAGCTGAATTCAGAGGCTACAAAGCAATGAGTAATGAATGATCCCTGTCCACAAGTAGTGCTCAGTGGGGGAGACAAATGTGGAAATAAATAACAAATATGATAATCCTTTAACGGAGATTTGTACAAAGAGCTATGGGGGACAGAAGAGAAAAGAAATGAATTCTATTTTCTAAACTAGTTTGGTTACAAAACCAGAAAGGTACTACCAGGAAAAACATTTCCCATGGATGCAAACACTGCAAGATAATGCAACACATCTTTTTGATCACACATAAGATAAAAGACAGCCTAACTCTTATGGAGCAATATTCAAGTCATCAGGAAAAAGGACTTATTAAACAAGTTATGGAATAGAGAGCTCAACAAAGGCATTTGTTTGGCACTGAATGTATGGCGGGTAGCTGTACCTGTGCTGAGTCCCCATAGGTGACACACCCACATTCCTGACTGGGAATGGCCACACCACAGAAGACTAGAAACCTAAGGAAAGGAGGTAGGTCAAGCTCTGCTCAGCAGCCAGGCCTTGCTTGAGTTCTGTGGTTTCCCAATTCTCTGCCAACCAAGTGTTTGCTTATTTAACTAATGGCTGCTCTTCTCATGAAGGTCTATTAGACTAGAGATCCCTAATATTTTTCACCATTTGGCATGCATAGCAATATTTGGACTGGGCCCAGGAGCTTATACCTTATTCCCAACACTTTAGGAGGCCAAGGTGGGCAGATCGCCCAAGGTCAGGAGTTCGAGACCAGCCTGGACAACATGGTGAAACCCCGTTTCTTCTTCTTCTTTTTTTTTTTTTAAGATCAGGTTTCATCATGATGGCCAGGCTGGTCTTGAACTCCTGACCTCAGGTGATCCACCCACCTCAGCCTCCCAAAGTGCTAGGATTACAGGCGTGAGCCATCGCACCTGGCTTTTTTTTTTTTTTGAGACGGAGTCTCACTCTGTTGCCAGGCTGGAGTACAGTGGCGCGATCTTGGCTCACTACAACCTCCGCCTCCTGGGTTCAAGTGATTCTCCTGCCTCAGCCTCCCAAGTAGCTGGGACTATAGGTGCATACCACCATGCCCAGCTAATTTTTGTATTTTTAGTAGAGATGGGGTTTCACCATGTAGGCCAGGATGGTCTCGATCTCTCGACCTTGTGATCTGCCGGCCTCAGCCTCCCAAAGTGCTGGGATTACAGGCGTGAGCCACCGCGCCCAGCTGAAACCCCGTTTCTACTAAAAATTAGCTGGGTGTGGTAGCAGGCACCTGTAATCCCAGCTACTTGGGATCTCCAGCTGAGGCAGGAGAATTGCTTGAACCTGGGTGAAGGAGGTTGCTGTGAGCCGAGATTGTGCCACTGCACTCCAGCCTGAGTGACAGAGCAAGACTCTGTCTCAAAAAAATAAATATTCTATTCAACTCTATTTAGACTACTGAAGGAGCACCTCTGTAAAATGTGCTACTGTGTTTTAATCACAGCATATTTTGGGGGACAAGATGGTCCATTTATGGCATAAAGTATCATTGGATTATGGGCACGAGGGAGATGACAGTAGAGAAAATAAGCTATATAGTCATCCCTTGGTATCCATGGTGGGAACTGGTTCCAGGAACCCCCTCTGTAGATACCAAAATCCACAGATGCTCAAGTCCCTGATATAAAATGGTATAGCATTTCCATATGCATATTCTCCTGTATACTTTATTTTTTGAGACATAGTCTTGCTCTGTTGCCCAGGCTAGAGTGCAATGGCAATGACCATAGCTCACTGTAACCACAAACTATTGGGCTCAAGTGACCCTCCTGCCTCAGCCTCTGGAATAGCTATGACTACAGGCATGCACCACTGTGCCTGGCTTTTTAATTTTATTTTTATTTTTGTTTATTTATTTGTTTTTTTTTTTTTTTGAGACGGAATCTCACTCTGTTGCCCAGGCTGGAGGCAGTGGCGTGGTCTTGGCTCACTGCAACTCCACCTCCTGGGTTCAAGCAAGTCTCCTGCCTTAGCCTCCTGAGTAGGCTTGGATTACAGGCGCCTGCTACCATGCCTGGCTAATTTTTTTTATTTTTAGTAGAGACGGGTGGCGGGGGGGGGTCTCACCATGTTGGTCAGGCTGGTCTTGAACTCCTGACCTTGTGATCCGCCTGCCTTGGCCTCCCAAAGTGCTGGGATTACAGGCGTGAGCCACCTCACTTGGTCTAATTTTTTATATTTTTGTAGAGACAAGGTCTCACCACGTTGCCCAGGCTGGTTGTCCTGTATACTTTAAATCATCTCTAGATTATTTATACCTAATACAATGTAAATGCCATGTAAAGAATTGCTATACTGCATTTTAAAATTTGTATTATTTTTTATTTTCTTCAGCTTTCCCAGGTTATATTTATTGGTGTTTTGTTCTGAATATTTTTAATCCATGAATGCTTGAATCTGTGGATGAGAGTATCGTGGATATGGAAGGCCACTGGACAGAGGAGTAAAGGCTCCTGTGACTGCAGTCATGTACTGTGAGGCTGGACCTTCCATTACTTGAGTGTCTGGAAGCGTTCCTCTGATGCATTCATTCAGAAATGGCATCCACTGGGAGACCCAGGGAGAGGGGACAGCAGGCTGCTAGGTTCAGCAGCAGCAATTTTGAGAAGAGCTAGGGGCATGAGATGTGGACCAGGATATTTTTTCACCTTCTAGAGAGCACAAGGCACATAGCAGCCAGGCTACAACAAATATGACTCCCACACACTATTCTTTTCTTATTCACAAATACCACTTTTTAAAAGGAATGCAAGGCTCATTCCTTAGAAGGTAAATGAAAGAAAGCCCACTCTCCAAGTTTTCCAAATGGGACTGGTCTCAAGAAAACCAAAATAGCTCTATGAGCCACTAAGCCTGGCTTGGAGGTGCCATCAGGGCAGGGAATCTACAATCACTGCTACCATGAGTATGACACTTTATTTTTATTTTTTTGAGACAGTGTTTTGCTCTGTCATGCAGGCTGGAGTGCAGTGGCCTAATCACGGCTCAGCGCAGCCTCGACCTCCCAAGCTCAAGCAGTCCTCCCACCTCAGCCTCCCAAGTAGCTGGGACTACCACCACCACAGGTGCGCACCACCACACTTGGCTAACTTTTTTTTTTGCTTTTTAGTAGGGATAAGGTCTTGCTATGTTGCTCAAGCTGGTCTCAAACTCCTGGCCTCAAGTAATCCTCCTGTTTAGTTAGGCTCCCCCCAAACGCTGGGATAACAGGTATGAACCACTGCACCCAACATTGAGTATAATGCTTTAAATGCTTGTTTTCTCATCCAGAAAATTGGGATGGTTAAGATATTAAGATAATAACAGAGATCCAACTGGTAGGATAATTAGGATATGAGAATAAGTTAAAAACAAAAACCACAACCACCAACTACTCATATTCAAGAAGCTGAACAATGACTCAAAATGACTAGAAGTGAGGTGGGAGCTAATTCAGAAGATTGTTACAATGGGGTCCATATCATCTCAGACTTGAAAAAGATCCTGTGTGAGGTCCTGGGTTCATTTCCAGCATCTCCAAACAGCCAACATCTATTTCCAACCTGGGTGACAGAGTTAGACTCTGTCTCAAAAAAAAAAAAAAAAGAAAGAAAGAAAGAAAAGAAAAATAAAAAAGATCTGTATTAAACTGACTAGTTCTTGCCTCATTTTCTTCTAACCATCAACATGTTGGACTGGGAGGCAGAAAGCAGGCTTCCAGGGCTAATCCTGTCACTCATCTGGGTAAACTTGGAAAAACACCTTCAGCAGTGACATGTTCTGTGAAGAAGGGGGTCCTTCTCTCTGTGAGGGAGGAAGTCACACCAACCACCTCCTTCCAAATGGAGGGACTGAGTCTTCTCTCTTTCACGCTTTACAGCAATCCTGCTATTTGTTCTTCAGAATCTCTATTCTCTCCTGCCCAACCTCAGTTAGAAACCTCCATCACATCATGTGGATCATAATCAGCTCCTAGATGGTGTCCTTATCTGTTTCTCCTTGTCCTAATTTACCTTGTACACCAGGACCAAGCTAATGTTGTTAGAATACTGTTTTTGGCACAACAGCCAGAGACTCTAGAATATCTCATGAATCCTGAACTCTGTGAAGTCTACCCTCTTTGGTTTGGCAGATCTCCCCAGTAAAGCTCCCATTTTATCTTCTCAACAGCATTCCTTCTACCATCCTGCCCCCCAGTAGCAGACATGTGTGCTACTAGCTTCAGCGAGAGCGCACCCCATACTCATTACCACTTCTACTCCCTTCTGGGAAAGTCTCACTGAAATACTCTTCATCTGGGAAGGTAGGAGTTTGATGTTAGCTCTATCCTAGGAAGCCTTTCTTCCCTGTCCCCAGGCTTTCTTCTTGAACTTCTTACTACACTGAACAGCCCGTTTCATATATGACTCTCTGAGGTCACAGATGGGCATTTCACTATATGGTTATACTAGAGCCTCTCCTGGTCCTCTGCTCCCAGGGTCTAGTACTGGGCTATGTAGGAAGCTGGGCCCATAGTATCAAAGGTCCCCAGTATAACCTGGTTTTGCTAATACCTGCTCAGTGCCTCAGAGACCCCAGGCCTGGTGATGTCTTTACTGTTAACCCTACTGCTTCTCAATTTACATCAACTTTGTCTACTCTGTGTCCAGTGGGGATACAAAGAAACAGAAGTTCCTGCAATGAAGGAGCCCATGGAATAGTTGGAGACATGTAACCTAGACATTTGAAAAGAAAATTAATATAAGGTAGAATCCACTGTATTTCATATTGCTTTCCAGGATAACAATGCTAACACTGCGTTGTCTCTCTCCTTGAGGGTATGGATTACAAACACATGGAAAAGATGTTCAACCTTATCAGGAAATCAAAGTAATAAAGTCTGAAATAAGAAAACATTTTTTCCTAATTAAATCCAAAAATTTACATGCATTATGATGGTTATAGTATCATTTAACAGTGGCTAACTGGAAGAAACACAAATGCAGAATAAGGAAATAACTAAACAATGGTTTGCCTACTGTGAAATATCACAGAGCAATTAAAAATAGTGGTCATGGATATCTGGTTCAAGATGGTGGGCTGACCACTTTCCTGAGACACCATTAAAATGACAAAGACATAAAAAGCTACAGCCCACAATAAAGAAGAGAATGGAGGGTCCGTTAGCAGTTGAAAGCTTCCAACATACTTCTGGAAGGCACAAAGCAGATGTGAGTGATAACTGAAATACGGTAGAAAAAACTGTAGCCTAAAGCTGTGTTGGTCTGTCAGAACAAGTGTCCAGAAGCAGAGGCATTTATGTGTTCAATGCTATTATAGAGAAACAAACATGTTAAAACACACACACACATACACACAAATAAAGTGGCTATACTATGAGCAAATTTTTCCTCCATTTTCTAAATTTTGTATGGATGGTTTTTTTTATATATATATACATATATATATTTATATATATTTTTATATATATATATATATATATATTT